CGTCAGCAGCTGATGTCAGAGTGCAATTTAAAAATTAAAAAAAAGACACCTGCACACTTACTTATTATTCTTTATTAATATATTAGTTAAAATATGGTTTTGTAATTTTGCATTTGCATTTTTTTTAACATGCCCTATTACAAAAAGTACTGACTGTAACGACTAACTAACATGAGTACAGCTCTGGTTACATTTTAGCTACACCTGTAATTATTTTTAGTTTCCTTCTCTTGTATATACATTTATTTAAAGGGAAATACCTAAACTGTCAATTTTTAAAGTGAGATTATGCCAAATTAAGTATGGATAAATAATGTGTAAATTGTAATTTTTTATTTAGTATCTGGAAAATATAGTGAGAAACTGTTTCTAGATAAAATGCTTGTTTTTGTATTATCCAATCACATTGAGAAAAGATGAGAAAAATCATAAAAATCTAATCCATTTTTTTTTATATGCTAATTGCTTTGCTGCATTGCCCACAATGGCTGATACATACTGTACCTCCGTATGGTAAAATAACTGATGGGACGCTGATGGGATTGCTCAGTCCTATGCTGAAACTATAAAAATATAGGGTTGCAGAGAATGAGACAGGGAAAGTAAAATTTAAAAAACTGTGATAACAACAAAGTTTATTTTCACACCAATGATATCCTTTTATATTATTGTGGGATAGAGTAAAATAAAAAGTGCTTGCAATGTAAGCCACTGTAGTCTGTTGAGGTGCCGCCGTGGTGAATGGAAACCTTCCAGCCATCCCACTGGCCCTTGTTTCCATTATCTAAAGGCCCAGGCTGCTATTATCATTCCTCCATAAGACTGTAATGAGAAGCTGGGGTAAAACCAACAAGCGGATAAGGTAGACCTGCATATAAACTGCTCTAATCTGGACCACTGGTACTATTTTCTCATAAGCAGACTATAAAGCGCTCAGTGAGCAACTGACTGAGTGAATAAATGAAGGTGTGAGTGATTATATGCTTCTCTGTGTTAAGATTTATCCTAAAGTCTACTCATCTTAAGCAAGTAGCAGATAAAGTTCCCTTCCAGGTCATATGAGCCATATCATTTTTATGGTCATGTCAATAAACAGCAGTCTGTGGCCTCTTAAGCACAGTTGACTCTGGAGGGAGAAGATGAACTCAACAGGGCAGCATTCAGAGGGAGAAAACCTCACTAAACATTGGAGCTACCATTTCCACTGGGGCCCAATAAGAGTGGCCACTTTTACTGGACATTTTCCAATTTTCTCCTAATTGTGTCTACTCGACATAATCCAGCCCCAGGCTCCCCCAATATCCATAACCATAACCACTTCCCTGTGACCCGCGTTCACGCTCCATTTCAATAAGAGCAGGAATGTGTTAAAACAGAATCTATCCTTCTGCTGCCCCACATAACTATCAATAGCTGCCTTTCAGTCTCACATGCGCTGCTAGTATTGTCAAAAGGTGTGGGCTGCACATCTAGGCTCTGTACAGGACTTCTGAAAACCTGATACCTGCGCACAGCGTGGTGATGTGTGTATGTACAGTATATGTGTTATGACCCGGGTCCTGCCCCATGACGTATTGCAACCTATAGTGCAGACTCTGTGTAGTCTGCAGCTCTCTAAGTGAGAGAGAGAGCAACCACAAAATGGTTTGGGATAACATCCCAGTGTAAAACCACACAGTCACAATAATTCCTTTAATAACAACTCCATATAATATTCTGACTCTGCAAAAAACAGTTACTTCTTTGTGCTTGACTTCACATGTACAGCATAAGTTATAAAAATCAACAGTACGTTAAGCAAGGTATTTGCACTTTATTTGCTTTGCAGTAAGATAGTAAGGATAATAGGTGTTTAAAATTGGGTGTATGTCTGGGAAGGGGGGTATATGGAGGTGTAAGGGTGAAGGTGGCTACGCTGACACAGTAGTTGTGCACAAGAGACTTAACAGTTTTCCTTGACAGGCCACTGTGGCTTTATAAAAACATACTGTGATTTAAAAAGGCCATGGGTTCTAGGTAGTACATGGCAATAGACCTGTGTGTTAGTCTGTGTGTGGGTAAGGGTGTGCGTCTGTGTGTGTGTGTGTCTGAATGAGTAAACTTCGGTGATCGTGTTTGTACTCCAGCCTGGGTGAATGGCTAGAGCAATGAGAGCACCGAAAATGGGAACCACCAGTGTCCGACTGGGGGCCGCCTCCTTTATCAGCAACAATTCTCTGGGCCCTTTTTTCCAGCTGGCTGGGTCTAGTTTGTATGGCCTAGCTGGAACCCTTTCAATTCTGTCCCACTTGTCCCCGTGCTGGACTCCCTGCTCCAGGATTGCCTGCCACCCCATGAATACCAAGCAGGCATACACACACATATGTACATACACACACGAAGAACAAGCTGGGTCTCTCTCTGCATAGTTTTGTTAGGTCAGTCATCAAGCCTGGTAACCAACCCTCCTCAGTCTGCGCGTGCATGTATATATACATTAAGTGTGCGTTTAATGTGAGTGTTTAATTTAGAATCATCCAGGCTCTGTGATGTTCCTTCACAATTTTAAAAAGACCATACCAGTGGTTTTGCATGTTTAAGCCCATTAACCACAAATTACTTGCATTTTATGTTACTGCCAACCATTTTCCACTAGAATTGCTATACATGTTAGAGGTGTTTTTCCACCTCCCAGGCGGACATTCATTTCGGTTCATTCTGGTACACTATGACCATTTACTTGCAGGGAGTATTGAAACTTGCTTGACAAAGATAATCTGTCACACTAACCACCTTGTCATAGCTATTATTTGTTACTTCATTATTGCACACTGATTGCTGCATTTTATGCAGGAAGTTCAAAATGAGTAATTTCTTTTATTTGTCTCCATAGTGCCTTAAAGAGTAACTTTGGTATTTTTCAACCTGGACCTTATTTCCACATGTTTTGTGTCAAAGTGACTAATGGGGACAAGACGTTTTGTATTTGGTATTGAGCGAGAGTGCTGCAGCTGCGAAATGGGCTACAATGTAATCATTATGAGCAATCACGCACCATCAAAATACGTCCATTACAAGTGCTTGTTTTTGCCACTGACTAGCTCAGATTGTTATTATAAGTGTTTGACCGCATTATGAAAAGGACCCTACAGACAAATTACATTCTTCCTGTACCTTTCGCTTGATTTAGTCTGTGAAATCTCCTCTGTGGGCATAGGGTCACAGCATAGTGTCACTCACTCTAGCTCTCTCAGTGAGTGATGTAAGGGATTACAACTTTCATTCTTTAATTCAATAATTACATTAAGTAATCCCAGTAGTGCTCCGTTACTTTGACATTTTGGGAGGATTGCTTCTTTGCTTGCCAGGAATTGAATAGAGAGATGATATTAATTTTGTTTGTGTTCAGTGGAGAGACTGGTCTGGACCTGGCAGCTCGGAGCAGGAGTTTAGGTGGGGAGAGGCAGCTAGCCTCTGCCAAAAGAACAGAAATACAAATTTTGAACTCTGTAATATGTAATTGTTAATGGGCTAAAACATGCAGAACTAACTTTTTCTTCACTAAGTCACCAAAGTAATGACTTGTCTGTGAGAATAATTGACAATCGTTCACTGGAAGACTGCAACTGTACATTAAGTCAAACCAAATAGCCAAGTCAAAGTTTAATCCACTAACAGCTTGCACATTAAGGCTTCTATACTGTCGTCTTACAGTCCAGTCCACTTCTGGGAACAGTTCCAGTGTAGACGTGTCCACAAGTGGTTAAAGATATTAGGGAGCTGCACCGTACATAACCCTGTCAACATCTGAAGCATTGTTCTTCCCCTCTCTGGTCCCATGTTCAACACATTCATATCACAGAAAGCTTTTCCAACTGAGCAAGTCAAGGTGTTGACAGGATATTAATCATAAAAACTCATATCTGTAACCTGTCATAGCCAGCTAATGAGATGTAGCGAGGTGGGGATGAGGATAAGATAGACATAGACTGGGAGAATAAACAGAAATAACACAAGGCTATTCCCACAACTCGGGGAAGTCTCGTCCAGCCACGTACTGAGTAAAAGAAAGCATGATGTCCACTATTCTCCAGCTCATGCCCAGAGGACATGCATTTATAAGTGCTCCTATAGATTCATTTAAAAACAATAAATACACATACACTGCATCGACAACCACGCCTGAAAGAGAGATGGAATGGGGACTGACATGCTAGTAAGTATTTAGTTACGTTTTTCTTGATGATGCCTTCTGTTCCTTGGTGTATGACTCATGTTACCTTACACCCTTATGCATTCCTCAACGTTTCAATTTAGGTATACAGAAAGTCAGGTTCTGTTTAAAATATGAAGATATAGATCGCAGTGTACTGTATTTACTGACAAAGCTGACTTCAGATGCCATCTCAAATAAAGCAAATTATTTTTACACATACACATCTGATGTGTTATATATATTACTTTAAATACGTGTAGAGATTTGATCCACATTCACACACATCATTCATGAAAATGTCTACATGTTGTGAACATCCAACTTAAAACTGCATTTAACATAAGGCATATGGTAGCACTCACAGCATGAAAGAGAACCAAATCCCCATTTTAATCGGCAACTTTCCTCATTTTCATTGTAGTAAATTAGGAATTCATAATACTTCCCTACAGTCCGACCCTAAACAACAATGGTGATTTTATGCTGCCTTGCCATTTTGGAAAATTTGCCTCTAACTTCAGTTCAGCCGGTATTTCTTTGGACACTGAACTTTTATTGTATTTTTTTTTTTTTGTATAAACATATTTTTCACTTAATAGTTTCAACACTGTGCAAACATTAATGCAGTGTGCAGGGTTCTTTGTTGCACGAGTGGAAAAAATACCTCATAAATCACAGGCGCACTGCTAAAGCTTTCCAATCAATACACCAAACATTGCCAAGGTATATGTATAAAACAAAGATGTTAAACAAAAAGGTTTGTAGGTTTTTTTTGCATGTGCCATTAAACCTAGTGTGTACTCACCGTGGCAGTGATGAGTGGACCATGGAGCTGTGCGTAGAGCAAGGCTTCATTAACGTGCCCTCTGACCCCCAGCAGGGCTAGTTCCATGCTGTGGTGCCCGGCCATGGCATGGGTTAGTTGCTCCAACAAGCTGGTATACCTCCTCCAAGGCTGATCCAACTCCGACACGCTGGCCAAGCAGCCGCGCATTACATTCAGACAGTATCCCACGCAGGGCTTGATCAGCGTCAAGCCTCTGCAGTGGGAGCAGTACACCATCTTCACCAGGCCCTTCACACACTCTTTGCTCAGGGTGACATGTTCAGTGGCATTCATCACCTCCAGACCCTCCTCCAGGGCTAGGGCCAGTTGTCGCCCGGCTCCGAGTGCCCCAGCCAGCTCTTGGGCCATGACGACTGGATGAGGCCCAAAAGGGTTGACATCCTGCCTGATCATACGGAGACAGTCGCCCATTTCACTGCCCATCATCATGCCGCCTTCAATGCCTGGATTGATTAGCCGAGTGTAGACGAGTGGGAAGAGGTTGTTAAAAAATTGGTGAACTGACACCTCCACAGAGACGTTGGCCCCACGGAGGTAGAGGGAGAGTGAGGAGAAGAGTTGGTTAACGTGGGGTAGGGCATGGCGGGACAGGGATGAGTAGGTTCCCTCCAACAGAGAGCTCAGGTGGCCCTGAGAGAAGGATAGAAGGTACTGGAACATGTCTGCAAGGAGAGCAAAAAAACAACAACACAGAGATAAGAGATAAGAGGAAAGACATTTCATATGAGAAGAATATTGAAAACCCTTGATGACATGATCTACAAGCTCTCCAGGAAAAGGGTAAGGCATTTAAAACGCAAACTCATATCCAAAACTCTGGCTCCTAACCAGCCAGCCTTGGCTTGTGCGTATTAGTAAGTGGGGTTGAGAAACCAGTGTCAAGTTTCCCTATAATGCGGCTGGATATCATGTGTATGAAGTGATCACCCCAATAACTATGTCTTAAGTAGGCAGTCTGTCTGAGAGAGTTGTACGAGTTGTCTCTGAGAGAGAGAGAGAGAGAGAGAGAAATAATTGAACAGTATCCTTTGCATTTTCTGAGGTAAATACTGTATATTCCAGATTCTACAGGGGTCACACACAAACACACACACCCACACACACACACACACACACACACACACATACAGAGTTGAATAATCCTATTCTTATGTCATTTCCTGGTGAAACCATGAAGCTGTAAAGCAATCAATGATGTCAGTGCGGAGGCTGATTAGTGCCAATAAAGTGCCACTTCTTGCTAAGGAAGATACTGTAACGGAGTGGAGACGGAGTAGAAGGAGTGACAGGAGGTTAGCAAGGGAAAAAAGACATGTAATATAGAAAAACAGCTTGACTCTCTTGCCTGTCAATTTCTCTTCCTTTTCTCCGATGTACCCCTTTGTCTAACCCCATTTGCACTGCTCACAGACATTTATTTTGAATAACTACATTTTATTAAACAGTAACTACAAATCAAAAATGATCAGGCAGTAAAACGGGCGGTCTTGCTTATTACCATACATGAGGTCACTTATATAGCACAGCCTAACTCATCCCTTCCATCTCCTTCAACTTAATCGTGTAACCAGCAACTCCACACATCCATGCTTCTGTGTGCAACGTGTGTATGTGTGCGACTGTATGTACATGTATGTGTGTGTGTGTGTTTGTATGTGTATGCGTGTCCTGGACACAACACTCTCCTATGGGGTGTGATGTCAGCCTAAAAGCATGCCAGGGCATGAAGGAGCAGTAGCAACTGTACAGAAATTGAGACAGGAGAAGGAGGGTGTCGACACAATCCCACCACCACCACACACACGGACCTCGGCACGGCAGACGCATTGCGCACGGCACCGCACGCCACACATGTAAATCCAGACATTAAATGAAAAAAAAACCAATGCCTAAGCTCACAGTGTCTGACAATTCTGCATATGTTTCTGACCGCTAAACAATTGTTATTAATCATGTACTGTGGTCTTTAAAAAAAAGTTTGATGGAAGTGAAGCCTGATGAAAACACTTACACATTAATTTACGAGTGTAACTCCTTCATTGTGAATGTACCCCAGCACAGTGATTGTTACCAAATGAATATGTGTTTGTGTGTGTGTGTGCCTGTGTGTGTCCAGCCCCTCCCAACTCACAGACAGAAGGATAACAACAGTCATGTCCTCCTCAACAGCTGCACTAATATGACCGCTGTCTGTGACACACGGGGACTCCCCACTGGCCAGTAAGAGGCACGACTCATTTGTAACGCACCAGAAAACACCGTCGTCATGATCAGAGCTAGTCTCGCACACACACTACATTTAAAGTTGTAGCCTGTTGGGTTTGAAGAGCGTGACTGCGTGTGACAGAAATAAAGCAGACAGACATGACAAGTAATGGTCTGTTAGGGATTATTACTGTAAAGCAAGGGGTGATGACTTGTAGTCTGACTGTATGCTGAGAGCAGTCAGAAAGACCTCCAGCTAGAGACCGACCAAGAAGATCAACAAAGTGCAAAAGCAACATGAGAAAAACCAAAAGGAAGGGAATAAGCAAAAATTGCATCAGGCTGGCAGAGAAGTTACAGTTTCAGTTCCACTTCAGTGTCTCCTAAGCCTGTGGGGCCACAGAGTTGGTACCAGTGTGAGGTCTAATTTCTTTGATAGCCACAAGAAGTTTACACCACAAGATGTACCCACAGGCTTATGTTACACAGCATTACATAATGTTATTATAAAATTTTCATGCTCAGAAATACCACAGTTTAATCTTACTCTTTATAAGGCGTGGTGGGTGCAAAACAAAACCAGATTAGTCTACATGATGAGACAAAGCGAGTTTTCTCGAGAAGGCGAGAAAAGAAGAATCTAAGTCTTATACTTCTTGAGCACTAAGACTGGATGCACAACTTTTAAAGGGTTTATGACAGGATCATTAAATCCTTAAGACATTCCATACTTGTTAAAAAAGCTTATTTTTATTGCCAAGAGAGTGACACAGAGAGAGAACACGAAAGAGGAAAAACGGGAAGAGAGAGGGAGACCGCCAGGAAAAATTGGAATAAAAAGAGGCGACTGAACTTTTGAACAAGGAAAAACAACTACTGTACAAGTGGACTCCACCTTGTGAACATGCTCTGACATCTGGATTCATTTGGCCCCTGGGTCCGGTGCACTTCCCTGTCTCTCCATGGCTGTTACTTCAAACATGTCCTTTTCTGAATGTACAGAAGTAGGACAAAAATCCACCTTTCTTTCTCTCTACACTCCCTCTGAAAAAAAAAACCTGATCCCATGATTCATTCATTTTCAACATCAGTTATTTTCTGTTCTCCATCAAGTTCTCTCCCACGCTCAAATGGATCCTGTTTCTCATTCTGTGATAAATCAAGTGCACAATCGTTGCGGGTTTCTTTGCACTTTCCAGTACTGGGAAACAGTGCGATAACAAAAAACAAGAAACCAGCAGCTTTTTAAGTCCTAACTACCATTGCATGATAGTCGGTTGGGTTTGATTGTTCTGTCTGACCACTATGTCTGAATCTGGATTTTGACCACACTCCATTCAGACACTCAGTCGTGGGTGGCTATCATTACCATGTCACAGTCTCCCATCAGTAAGCCTTTTGGGAAATAAAGTCTGGCTGGATCGAGGCTATTTTGCATGAAGCAATTATCTTTAATTTCCACGGAAGTCCAAAATTCAAAACACATAATTGTCAAGCTAACTATACGGGAATAAATGAACAGGCTTGCTTTGTCTGTGGCCCCGTGGGGCTAATCTGACATGCTCTCTGCTTGGAATAAACAAGGTATTAAACAGATAAAAAAGCATGGCAAAGTGGAAGAGACCTCTGTCCTGCAGTGACCTAAACTAAGTATTTATGTCTCTGTGATGGGATGGGATATTATACCATATCTTTCCACGAATGCCATGCCAAGGCCACTTTTCTGAGATCACTGGGTTTGATCATAAGAAGCTATTTGTACTTTACATTCTGCATGGCAACCCAGTGTTTTACTGGCACAATTAAAGCTTAAGTGTCACCATGGTGAAGCTGCCACAATAACTGACTCAAAACATGCACAGTGGCAGCTCTGTGATTTAAGTCACCACTATGGCGTTCCTAATTTCTAAGCCACTTTCACATCGAGAAAAATGTGTGTGTAGTCAGTCTTACTGAGCAGTATTGTCACAGTTTGAAGAGGTCATTTAAGGCCAAGGAATCAAAGCTGGGTCGCCAGAACTCACAGCACAGGACATGTTGAACAAAAATACCCTCACGGACCAACACTGTAAGCGTGTGGGGTTGGACAAACTGATTAAACTGTATGACTAGTAGTAGTTGTTGCAGCAAGTTATTTGTTAATGCCTTTTTAAAGCCCCTATGTGTAACACTTGGAAAAATCTGACTCTAGAGACTCATAATAGTGGTAACAAAAAAGACACGGTGGCAGACAGCAATGCCGCAAAAGTTACGTCACTTACACATGTGTGCAGCGTTTACTCCCCAGAGCTTACAAAGTGTGGCTAAGCTTCACAGCAAAATGTTATAACTTAGTGAAAATAATTTATGAAAATGAGAAAGTCTGTCTAACTTGACAAAGCATTTCCTGAAGTGTGAGAAAGCAGCATTTCTAAAATCCCTAATCATAATTCCCCCTGAATAAGCTCATGTCAGTATGTCGAATTTAATTAGACACAAGTGTACAACAGCAAACATTGCCCTTACAGTATATTTTTGTTCTTTATTTACCCTTCAACCAAAAGGAAATGTAACATGTTTGACCAAGTCTACCTTAGCTACTCCTGTAAAATCCTGGAAATGTATTCTGTCCCATTAGATGAAGATATCAAATGTTTTCAGATTTGGCCTGTTTAGTGATCAAGAAAGGGGTTCTAGAAATGTTGCGCAATGAAATGGTCCTTCAAGTTTTTATTGTAGTGCAATTAAGCCTTTGCTTTTAAATATACAGCAAGCCAATTATTCATAATAATTAAAAACTCTACATACACAAAATATATAAAGTAATATTAGCTAGATCAAATAATGAGTAAACTGTAAAAATACACACAGTTGCAAAATGCACTGGAAAATTTCACGTGTATGCAAATATTTTAACTGAATTGATCATGAACTTGAACTTTCCCCATTCTAACGAGTTGCATAGTCCTGTGATAGAAGAGTCTTTCTGTGTCATGAGTGACACTGCATCTTTTAATAAGTGTAAGCGAGTACATGTATGTGTGTATTTTTAAGTTCATGCATGTAGACCTGCAGAGTTGGGTGTGCATATGTGTGTGTATGCTCGCGCGTGCTTGAAGATGCGGTAATATTGTGATAATGAGGTAGGAGACACTGTTCTCATACCATGAAGCTGTGGGCCCTTCCTATCTTGGCAATCAGACCCAACTGGACCTGACCAACCTTTTTCTCAGGCAAAGCATTTTAATCCTGCCACAGGCTTGGGTTTCAGACAGGTCACCACACAGATATATGACATAGTGACACATGTGTAGATTACATATCCTTGTTTTAATTAGTAGAAATACTGTACATAGGGCCATCTCCCACTCAGCACTGGTCATCTTAGGTTACAGGGGAGAGCTGCAATGTCATACAATCTCCCAGCCTCTAACCTTTCAACAAACAGTTTAATGGTAATAAACTATTAATAAGTCAA